TGCGATCCATTAGCCTTCAAGCCTGGATTGATGTAAGAGCATGCCTGCAATACCAATAACAAAATTAAAAAAATAGCAAGTAAATTCAAATGTACTGGAACTTACCTAATATGATGTTGATAAGATAATAAAGTATGTCTTATTAAAAGAAGATGATAAAATGTAAACAGTAAAGTAACGCTGCTCTTCTTTCAAGCGCTTAGTATGTAGATACAGTGCTGCCACTGTATATGTGATGCATTAACACACTAAGAGCTAGCTGACAGTCAGCCTTTCTAATAACACTGCAACAAGGCTGTCTTCTTCAAAAATCAGGGTGTAGAATACGGCATGGGATGAAGGAAACAAAAAAGAAACAAAGAAAGGACACCTGCCATTGTGTTAAATAAAAACAAATGTCTTAATTAAGAGAATATGATAATGGGACTGTGTACCAAAAAATTTTAAGGCAATGAAAATTAAATTTGTATATGTTCTGTTCATCTCATTTTGTATTCTGATAGTCATCAAGCAGAAATTATGTCTTTGGGATGCTGTGATTCAGAAGCAACTTTCACTCTGTGAACAATTGACTTACAGACCTACATCTCAAAATTCTTTGAGTTACCTTACTTCAGTTCACTGCAGATGATTGCGAGTCATTTATCTCAATGTCCTGCTACTCCATGTTAAAATTTCCCACTTAACTCTGCAGTGTTTGTTGTTACAGGAGTTTAATAAAGTTTTGAAATTGAATTTCTGCTGTTTCCTTCTTTCTTTCTTTAGTTTACTATATTCAAAGAGACAAAGCACTGAAACATTTTGGTTCATTCTGTATTAACCAATTTTTGTGATCTAAATTGGTAATAATATATGCACTTATATTTGTTTCTATTTTGGCCCATAATAAACTAACTCCGTGGAACAGTCTCCTTCCTGAGAAACTAATATTAGATCAGCTAATAAAAATGCTTTGCTTTTATGAAACCTGAAAATTCTTCATTCTGTTCGTAAGTCAGCCACTGGACCCTATCCTCAGCACATGAATTCAATCCACCCCACCCACCCAAAACTAAAAGTGATGGGATGTCAAGAGCAAGGAATGTCTTTTGGGAATGTGAAGATGTCAGTTACAATAAAACAATACACATTCACACACGCAAATACTAGCCAAGGCCTTAGGACAAACACAACATCATTACATTTTAAGACCGTAAAAGCGTTATAGTTGGTATAGTGCAACATTTGGCACTGCTAATAAACCTTATTGCTATGCAAATCATAACAGAACTTCAGACAAATCACTTTCCCTCCCCTCGTTGTTGCCACTCTCATCGCCTGGCGACAGAAATGACACGCTGTGCTCTCCAAGATGTTTAATGTCACTGACGCCCTCCCACTCAAAATCCAGAGAATGTGGCATCCGTAACTGCCTTTTTGACACGTCGCCCCAGTTTATGCCCTGTAGGACGAAGCACAAACATTACTAATATGTACCAGAATACTAATTGCAAAGTAAAACTTGGTATAGTAGAAGTGAGAGCACCACATTTTAAAAGATTCTTTAGTTGTGCCACACAGACTTTCTACAAAAAGAAGGAAGACAATGTAGATCCTTGTTTTGCTGTAGGGACGTAGGTAGAGTCATGATTGGAATAACTGAGGAGCCGGTCGCTATTCAGTAAGATGTCAAGATTTTATGATGTGATTGTTTTTGTATCATATGACATGTTTTTCGCTTAAGACTGTGGTAATGTTGTAAATAAAACAAATATTGTATTTTTCATGCCACCCCTATCAAGTTATTGGTCCTTTCCTTTTACCTGTGGAACCTAACCAAACATTTCCATTATCTTTATTCTGTACCAGGATTGCTGTCTACTTGGCCTGTACTAAAGTGAATCAAATTGTCTAGAAACAGCGTCAATAAACTCAAACTGTGTGGATCTTCCCACTGTTGTTAATTTGCTTAGGCACAGTTTAGAACTTAAAAGTGTACATACACCCTATTGTATATGATAACAGATATGGTAAAAGAACTTACGTCAAAAAATGGATGTTCTTTGATTTCTTGAGCTCCGCGTTTCCCCCCACCTAAGCGAAGTCTTGGATTCTTCTTCAACATTCTTTCAATAAGGTCAACTTCACAGTCCAAGAACCACAAAGGTATGTCAGGCTTGTCATGCAATATTTTGCTGCAAGAGAGAGGTTCATTCTTATATTTGCCTTAAAAGACTGTACTTGTTAAACATGCTTTCACAATTAATGTTTGTAATGCTTCTCAAAGCTGCCATAAGTGGCCTAGTCAATGTCTGATTTTCATGTAAATCTCTGACATAGGTCATGCAAGAGATAAGGAAAATGGTCAATGTTAAACGTTGTAAGCGTTCAGCTTCTGGAACCCTTCCTATCTGTCCCTTACATTCAGTCTCTGACCAGCACAAATTTCCTTCGTTAAAGATTGTGGTCATAGTTGGAACTGCATTTGGTTCCTCCGCCTATGGTTAATTCTCCTCAGGTTTCAAGCGTGTACACCAATTTTACTCTCATGACAACAGACGGTCATCCATTAACAATGACCTAATTTGTACTGAAATGTGTTCAAAGGAAAATGATGTTCACAGCAAACACATACATCAGAACTCTTTCCAAATGCAAAATACTTACCAACAAAGTGCTGAATCATTTTGATGTTCATCATATTCAAAGGGCCTGTGCCCGACCATCATTACAAATGCAGTGACTCCAACACTCCACCAGTCCACTTCCTGCAACAATTAAAATTACAGGTATTAGCTGCAATCAGACATTTCTGTTTCACCACACTCTTATACATTTTCGACAAGGTTCTCCACAAACAGAAAATTTGTGGTTAGAGTGAATTGTTTCTTAGTTTCTTGCCTCCAGGATAATGTGTAACATTCCTAAGTTTGTAAGACTTGAGGTTCTCACAGCGGTGAGTATGAAGATATCCGTCTTCTGGGTTATTGCGCTGTGTAGTCTGGTCGAAGATGGACTTCACCTGAGCCGGTCCTGGAAGCCTCTTATTCACACACTTCGAGGACTCCGAGAGCGAGCAAGAGTGCGCCGCCAGAACCAACCAGACCACTAACATGGCCCTTTTCAGAGCCCTGATCCATACAACCAAACTCACCTTTCTCTCTCTACTTTCTCTCCCTCTCCCACTCTCGCCCACGTGCTCCCATTGGCTCGGGGCAGGCTACACCTTTCACTTCCCGGCCTATAAACTCAGCACCTCACACCCTATTGGCATATTCATCGCCCTGATGACGGAGGCAGTATGACCTCTGAAACGTTGGTTAACATCGATCAGACTACACAGCGCAATAACCCAGAAGACGGATATCTTCATTCCTAAGTTTGATAATGATTTTCCTTTCTTTACCTAATTCTTGCAGCTATCAGTTTGATTCTTAGCCAGCCAGAGATTGTGATGAATTTTGTTGTGGTTTTCTTTGAGTGCTCAGTCAGAACCTTGTAAAAACACGTTATTAAACACTGCTTACAACTGACATTATACAGCTACATAAGTGACATCAACAGTCAAATCAAGAAAATTATCCAAAGCCATTAAAACCCATTCAGAGTTTATCAAACTGCTATAGAAGAGGACAGACAAAAAAGGCAAAGCAAACAGGAACATTTTTCTATAGTTTTGCAATGAAAACACCTAGAAATGTTCTATGTTCGCTTCATATCTTCTGAACTGCCGTCCTCCAACAATACTGTCTACTGCAACAAGTTTTCACAAATATTTCTTTGTGTTTCAGGTCAAGTCCTTTTTTCATACAGAGAGTGAGCATGTAACGCATCCCAATTCAATGTGAACCGAGAGGCAGGGGAATATGAACTAATTTCATTTGAGAAGTTTATATGAGCAAGTTTTTAATTCGTGCTGCTTTAGTTTCCATCTTTGCACAAGATGTGCTACACTCACAGTTGTTAAAATGGCATCTTAAGCAGAGGAATCCCTCGCCGCCCATCTTGGAAGAAGAGTGTCCTATTGACACACTGTAGCAACAAGACAGAATTCCTCCACATTAATACAAGTAACTGATAGAGTCTTGAATCGAAAGTTTTCAGAGAATTTTATTGGCAAGGGTGGGAATATGACTTGGCCACGTTGTGTACATGAACTTCATCCCCTTATAGGATTCTTTTGGGGGTACATCAGGATGTTGTGCAGTGCCAACAGTGGCTTCCACTTTGTTAGAATTGGCTACAGTCAACCCTGAATTCCTTGTTGTGAGGACTGACACGAAATGGAATACATCTCACGTGTACACCCAGAATATTTTGTTTTTGAATCTCATCCTTTACATGAGTCATTGAAGTAGCCGCCACCAAATTACATACTACGTGGTCACAGCAAAAGTCTACGACATTGCAACAATGAACACTGGAGCCCAGGCAAGTAAAGACAGCTGAGAACTCGATATGTAGCAAAACTAACAATGCCGTACTGGTAACTTGGAGCTGTGAGCCAAAGAACATGAAGTATTTCCATGGCTTTGAAGCTTGAAGTTTGGTGATGGCTACACCATTTTTCTTTCTGTTTTTGGGTGTAACACGACACAGGGAGACACTTAAAGCAACTTTCATGCTGAGTCACATAAGGAAAAAAGTCTAAACAACACTTAATTTCAATTTCAGTGACTGGCTAGTACTTGGCTTTCAAATTCCTTTATATGACAAAAATGCATGTCATCATGCCAGATGCCAGGCAGCTGACTGCACCGCATTCAGTTGAATGCCTGTCATGTGTATCGACTAGTTTATGCACGTGTCCTTACAAATTCCATGAAGTTACTGCTTGTGGCTCCAAACCCTCAGATTATTATAATGTGTTTTCTTGTTAGTTTACATTAATCACGCGTTAGGTTGAGTTACATAAAACCAAGAGCTCATTATTATCATACTGTTAATGGACAAGAAACTTACATAGCTGTAGCCTTCGCCGATGAATATCTCTGGCGCCATGTACTGACTTGTGCCACACTGCGAATACGCACGATCACCCTGAAGATGGAAACAACAATTTTAGTAACTGTGACAGGAATTTGGGGCACAAAACAACTACAAAGTGTCTGGTAACAGAGAAGAAAATTGATCATATCAAAAAGTGAAGACCACCACTGGACACAGTCCTGAGCGACTTCCATTCACCTCCTGCCTTCAAAATATATTTCTGTAACATCCCTCTTAATGCTATGCTTCTTAACCTTAATGGTTTCTGAAGCTGCCATTTTCCAAGAGACTTACCTAGAAATATTTTGCAGCATTTCTTCTCTACCTACACGTCCAACCTACTGTACGTACATAATATCCTTTAACTGCGACACTACTCAGTAGGCTGTACGTGCCACAAAATTTATCATCAACTATTATTTACACTAAGGACCCCAGGGTCCACCAAGGACTGTAGTGTGAAATAAAGAAGACTTATAACTTTCGGTATCCAGTATTACCCTTTTTTTGAAAGTAAGGCACATGTTTAAGCTTCTTAGACCTCTAATGCTGGGTATCCTAGACAAGATATTAATGGCTTCTGAATAGAATAACAGCAATTACTTACCAAACTTCAGGAGAGATTATACTCGTACACTTCAAGTTTATCCCGTAAAAGTCACAGGCCTTGCGACATCTTTTAGTTACACTATACTTAAACACACACTGGTCAAATTTAAGGCACCTGAAACATGTCGACTCTTTATGGGTCTTGTACTTTGACTTCCCTCAAATAAAGGGCACTGCCTGATGGACAGCGGTCCACATAGCGCTTGCATCCACAGCTCATGTGTCTTTGTATGTACACTGAACAAAAGATTAGGTGGATATAATATTTACCTCTTTAGAGCAGACAAACTGTTTGCACAGGCCATAATCCGCAACAGCAATGTGGCCTTGGATGTCCACCAATATATTTTCTGGTTTTAGGTCGCGGTGTATGACTCTAAGCTGAAAGAGACAAATTAACAAATAAATTCCTTGTACAGAATGGATAAAATATGGTATATTTTGCATTCTTATTGTGGTAGTGAAATGCAGTATCAGTATTTTGCTTTTCTGCTACATATCACCTGAACTAAGCTGTCATATTTATTACTGTTATTGATAAAATTAAATACCAAACTGAACTGTAGCTGTGGCTTCAACCATGATTATGAGTGAGGATCTACCTTGTTTCTTATGTGCACAGGGTTGGCATGAAGGTGTTTGAGGCGCTAGAGAAGCTTCACCTTTACCATCACCACCCAAACCATTTAATTTATTTTCAAAAGTAATATCGTACATTAACCTGAGTAACGATTGTACATTTTTATTTCAGATTTTGTTCATATCATAAGAGTCAAGAATACAATACTGAATGTAATACATTGGCATTGTCCTGCACTTTACACAAAATATGTACAGAAACAGACACATTAGAATTTGGAGCGTACGAAGGAAACGAGTAGAAAGAGAACAAGAAACTAACAAAAGTGAAACGGAACTTGTTAGAGCATGGGTTGTCATTAATCCCATATGCAAATATAAGAACTCGAATGAGTCAAAGGGGGATGTTCTACAGAATATTCAATTGTATGCTCCATTTTTATGTTATTAATTTTTAGTTATCAGTTTTTGTTCAGATGATGAACCTGGTCAACTTTCCCTGCTTCAACAGTGGAGTTTACAGAGTCTGGGACTTCACAGAAAGGGGTAAATGGAAATGTCAGTATCCAGACGGACAGTACACTATTAAAATAATTCTCGTTCAGTTTCTCAATTCAAGGCGAGGGAAGGCGGGAGGGGGGCTCTTCTAGCTTCTCGAGGAGTGGCACAGATGGAGGCCTTCACGGAAGGCGAGAACTACAGAACTGCAGCTAATGTGATATAAAACTTTCTGGATTCAAATGCCAAACATCCGACCAGTCAAAGTTCTTTAATTAATGAAAAGACTTCCAGAAATTAGATAATGATGGTCTGAGTTAAGAAAGTCCTAGTTGACAAATTCTTTACTGTGCGTGGTTGACGCTAATGGTGATACAGCCGCTTCTTACCACGAGGTAATTAGCTGAGATAATGAACAAAATGCAGAGGGAACTGGTGAAAGACACATAGCTATCAATATGGTGCCTAGTGTGGTCTGTTGCCACACTCCTGCCAGTGATCAAGTTCTTCTCAGGCACACCCCAAGTTATCACAGTTTTTGGAGAGTACAGATTGCCTAATGGGACCACGCAACCGCATACTGTTATGCTAAAAGTGAATAACATACAAGTTCCATGGCAGCCAATCACAGTACAGAAGAAAATTGTCGTTGACCTCATAAACATGACAATGCTAATCAAATGTGCCCCTATCAAAGCTAAAACAATTATTCATAGGAAATAAGCTACAATTACTATACTTTCTTAGTATTTCAGACTTTTCCCACAGAAATCGTAAATGATTGGTATGCAGTGAATAAATCACGCATTGAATTAAACCAAGACATTCTGTAGCCACACAATCAATCAAGCACTTTCAGGTTTTATAGTACCTTCTTACACATTTGATTGCAGAGAACTGCAGTTGGACTGTTTGCCTACCTTATGCAGATACTCCACAGCCTCAATGATTTCTGCCAGGTACATTCTTGATTCATCAACTGTAAACATTCCTCCCAACTCCCACAACAGATCAAACAGGTTGCAACCTGTACCTGCATAATAGTCTGGAACAATAATAACAAAACTTAGTTACCATAAGGACACTCACTGCTACCAGAGGACAGTGCAAAGTACTCTGCTGTATATTCAGTTAGAAAACAGTGTTACTGCCATATGACGCTCTCCAAAAGACTGAAAGATAGTTCACCCTTCACACGATGTTTTCAGTCAAGATAAATATTACTCCTACCCTTCTTCCTATGGTCCACATGGTGGCCACTGTCCGTGCTGTGTTATAAAAACATTTAACTGGCAGTGGAATTTATTTTTACAGGCCTACTATGTACACTGTCCACTCCTCTGTAAACATGACTCACAGAAGATGAACAGAACAAATATGTGTCAATACCACGATACACAGCACTTGTTAGTCGAAATGTATGTGGGATGTGACAAACATTAGTCAGTGGGAGACTTTCACATGCATACAGCTTGTCTCTCTGAGCAGCGAACTGAACTGACCTAGAAGACGCAACATTTAGCTACATGCATTCCACAAACCATTGCCCTTAGAAAAAAATATTTCTACCTTTAAAGCAGTCCGTGTGAAATCTGTTATAATGGACTAGTTACAAGTGACCCGACTTACGTACTGAATTCCACACAAGCCAAGCGATACTTAAAATACAAGGATGGGACAGAACACTAGAAAGCTTCAAAAATAATGCAAAACTAAGCATCAGTATCGATTTTATGACAAAAAATTATTAAAATTGTACAATGAAACCACTGTTAATAGGACCACATTAATGACTGTGATGATTAATCATTCATATAAGTACAATAATCTCCAAAAGAATTATCATGCCTTTTTAATCTGCTCCCAACAATTATTCTGTGATTCATAATGGATTGATAGTGGGTGAAATTGATTTCAGTGTGTCAATACTGACAACCTGAAACATGTATCTGACTGTAACACTTTACTTCAGAGTCATTTGATCAGCAGGATTCTTCCAGTTTAGGTGGTTATCAATTTTCAGACTGCAGAATTTTACTTTTGCGCATAGTGGTGAATTATTTGTTACAAATTTTATTAAATTTTTCCTAAATTTAGGTTTGGGGTGGTTTGTTTGCTGTGAACTGTATTGTTCACTCCACGTCTCAAATGTACTCACCTTGTACGAGGCACAAGTTCGATTGTGTCTCGAATGAATAATAGAGACCAACCATGAATGGAGCCTCCAGGCCCTTCTCGAGTAACTCTCGTTCGGTACGATATTGCTGGCGGAAAGCCTCACAAGACATAATTTCGTTAATGTCTTGCGTCTTTAAAGCATATTTAGTGCCATCATCTACGCCGCCGACCTTCCGCACTAGGTATACTTTTCCATAACCTGGAACAGCACGCAATCATGTTTCCTGTTACTATGTCCTCAACAAGGGCTCTGATATTTGTAGACCCTCTCTCTTCACTAAGCATGAATTCTGTAAAACGTTGTGTGTGCAATATCAAGCCTTCATGACTAAAGGTAATATTTTTCGATACACGTTCTGCACAGGCCCATTATCCAAGAAGCAGTTAAACCACTCGCCACCAGTGTCGTCGTTCTGAAAGATCAGAGCCCGAATCTTAAGTAGCTTCTATAAATGGCCGTGTCGGGTGACACGAACAGAAAGAAATCCCACTTAGCTCTGCGATATTTTCTATGTGTAATAATACATCATATATAATCAGAATTATTTTTGTTAAACACTTACTCCTATAATGTTTATGCTTTGAATCTTCTTTGGAGGGTCACTGACCCAGTCACACCAATTCCATGCAACAATCTGATTAATCAATATTCAACCATAAAGAAATGTTGTTCAAGAGCGTACGGTCTACAGCATTTTTAGTAATTTCTAATTTTCAGCTTGAAAATGTTAAAGGAAAAAAGGTACAATATGTATCGCCATCTATTGGTCATTTATCAACGGTGATCGTGAAATATTTTAGTAGAGCGTTATCACAACAGAAAATTAAAATATCAATTACATCAAAGGAAGAAGCGGGTTATTTCTGAATGTGGGTTCCCTCCTCTGGCCCTGTACCTTTAGTAGGGGCTCGATTTCCACTAACAACATTTCGCAGATGACATTCAAGAAGAATGTCAATCATCGGTCATCAGAAAGAGAAAAGTGTCGTTGACAGAAAATTTTGATTGCCTTAGGCTCGGCAGAACAAAATCCCGAGCTATTTGCAACCATCTTCTTGAAGCAATAACGTTCTCAGATATTCTGACGCTTAATTTTATGGAATATTATTAATCAAGACTTGGCTCTGAGTTTAGATCCTACAACACTTGTTCATATTAGCAAATGTCTGAATGGAGTAACTCTTGTAACTGACGTCTAAAATATTCATTGTGAGTGTTCCTAGACGGAGGTTAAGCTCCATTCTTTCCACTTACATTGCTGTTGTCTCAGCTGATTTACTGCTACTGGACGGTTCACAAAATCAGGGCCATATTTTCTAAGCAGAGAAATCCACAGTTAATTTGCGAAGTTTTTACTACAAGAAATCGTACTTGCCTCCTGTCCCCAGAAGTTGGAGCGGCTCGAAGTCTTTGAGCCTCGGAAGGTCGGCCTCATCTAATCTGCCTTGGTCAGCGCCCTGGCCGCTGCAGTCCTCGTCCCAGTTCTCACTGCAGTCCTCGTCCCAATTCTCACTGGAGGCTGGCGCCAATTCCTGGTGGTGGCAGCCACGAAAGCTCTGAATCTGCTGTTTCAGATCCTCGTTTTCGGCCATGATATTTGAGACTACCTGAATCAGTCCGTTTATGGTTCCGTGCGTGATTCTCATCTCAATCACGTGTTGATTCTCTAAGTCCTTGACTTTTGCTCTTAGATCCTCTACGTCTCTGTTCCTCTCACGAAGGTCGCTCAGTTCTTTCTCCATGCGAGCAAAATGATTTAATATCATAAACAAAGGTTCTGCTAATATTTGGTCTCCACACTTTTCTTTCTTTCCAGCACCAATCAGGTCGTCTATCAATGTCTCAACGTTCTCCATGGTCCTCAGGCACCTGCAGTCAAAAAAGATACATCTTATTACCTTCCAATGCTATTATAGCATCAGTGCCCTTTAAATTCAACACGAAATTCGAATACAGATTTATACTACGTATTCTTATATTTATATTATTAATATTTTGCTCTTTGACCGGTCGATTAGTCTGTTATTTTTCTTTTTATTTAGTGTTCTGTCTGACGACAGGTCCATATGAACAGGATCCTTCCATACTTTTCTCGGACTGGGACCTGTTCATATACGTTCTTGGCAGATGATCCAGAAGTGGTTTGCCATTGCCTTCTTCTGTGTGTGAATGGAGTAATTGTTGGGATGCCACGGAGGAAAACTCCGTGTTGCCTAGCCCACGGCCTTGCCCAACACAAGTTATAAATTCGGGCACCGCCGGGAATCGAACCCGAGACCCCCAGGATTACAAGGCCAGCGTTCTAACCGCTGTTGTTATACTAAAAATCAATCCAGGGATAAGATATTTTGTATGTTTTATTCATCCTTGGACGCACTGCAGGATAAATCGGATTAAAGGAACGTTTCCTTTGCTTTCGGTGAAAGCAACTACGATTTCAATTCCCAGAAACAGAATTTACGTTCCTTCAGTTAATATGAAGATTTTATACTTGCTGCACTTTCGGTGAAAGCAACTTCGATTTCAATTCCCAGAAACAGAATTTACGTTCCTTCAGTTAACATGAAGATTTTATACTTGTCAGTTGGTTCGTCATCGTTTCAAACTCAAAAGCAATAAGCTACTAAGCTTCGTTGCTCCGCACTGAACTTCAAGAAGAACTTCACAGTTTTCACGAAACTTCGAACCGAGTGCGAGTTCGTACACGAGTTAACGCTTCATTCCGTGTTTAAGGGTTACTCTGTAAGCAGCGACTATTCGGAATTCTTAAATATTCTTTGGACCATCTTCGGATTAAAAGAGCTACGAATTTTTTACTATTGCTGTAGAAATTGAACTATTTACCATAAATGCAGACAGTATTTGGAGCACAACAACAACAATGTTTAACAATTGCATACCAATCCTCACGATGAAACAGGAAATTACAAATAAAAATTCAATAGCCAATTACAGATGCAGCACGCGAGACGAACACAACAATCAAGTTGAAAAGGTTACAAAGAAAGAGATGACCAAACAACACACGAGTGCATAGGACGTTAATGCACAAATAAAAATGTTTGTAATAATAATTTAAATAAATCAAATAAAATAGAATTTCGTAAAATGTGATTACGGGAAGCCATCTTCCTTACAAACACGTGCACGCCCCAGCAGACAGCATCACCAGTTGATGAGCGTCCAGCAAAAGGACTATTTTTAAACGAAGGGCTGCAACTGAACAGAGAAGAGTCTCTCAGATTCCGAACAGGAATGCGGAGACCGGCAGCTTCCAGAAGGGAAGAACTTTCGTAAGAGACAGCGCGTCACTGCAATAACCCTTCTCACAATTGTAAATGATAACCTGTACATGTAATGAGCAATAATATTAAAAAGGAAACCCTTGGCTCACCTTTGTGGATAGCAGGAGACCTCGATGTCCACAGGCAGCAAAGGTTGAATCATAATTTAAATATTAATCGAGCGAGTGCGAGACACTGTCACAAAATCGTTACTAAATCGTAGAACGTAAATCCACGAGTTATTCCGAAAGTTATTTGCTAACTAAGGCAACAAACGTATCTAACGAAGCACTTAATCCAAAACCTCTTCGAAGCACAATTCGAACCAGAGTGACGAAAGCCGATTGTTGCCTGCTATTTATACCAACATAACCTGTGACGCAACAGTCAGTAGAGGGAGTGCAATACGGTTCACTCATGCGTGCATAAGGACAGAGAAATGAACCTTATGGCATGCCAGCTGAGATTGTTGCACGTGTTCGGATTTTATAAGAACACCCGCGTTTCATATTTACACATTCTTTGTAGTTAAAGAAATACAAATTGGATTACTCCAAGTTATAATTTGTAAGAAATCAAAAATTAATATTAAATATTTTAGGTGTAAAAGGAAATCAATTTAAAAATAATGAAACGAGGCTTGAAATAAATTTTGCAGTTTAATTTGCACTTGTTTAAAAATAACGTCGTGTTTTTTATACTTTTTTGATTTTAAAGACGGTTTTTGAGGGCTCCGGGCGCTGTTGAACCCATCGCCCCTGCGACAGGGAAAATGTTTCCTTCCTTCGAATCCCGATTATTCATTTTGAATAGTGAGAGAACGCAGGAAGGCAAGAACTCTGGAAGAAGTGTCCTGAGTTCGATTTCCTTCAAGGGCGGTTCCTTTGGCTCCGAAACTAAGCGAGACAGAAGAAGGGATCAGAGTTTTTTGCTTCGAAGAGGAGATTTCGGAAACGAAGGCCTCGACACTGAGTTCGAGACCCGACAAAGATGGTTTCTGTTGACGGGAAAGCACCCACGAGAAGAAATCGACGCCAAGGCAAAATTCTTTCTTTTCGGAGAGGAAATTACGGGGTCTAAGGTCACGGACACGAATACACAGTCCTCGGTTCGAGTCTCTGTTACGATGTTGGTTTCTGGGGTCATTTTTACGGGCGTATTAAAGGACGCACGTTCAATGATGAGGCCCGTAAGCTACCGGGTGTTTCCGAATTAATCTGCTGATTTTGTGTGGTTAGAATAGGCCATGCACTTTTATTTATTCATAGATTATTTAACGACGCACTTTCAGAAGCTCCGAGCATTAAATCCATTCATAAATCCTATTTTATTGTTTGGAAACACAATACTAGCTTAATTCTGTATTACTGTCGACTAACACGGATGCCACCAGATGTCTCAAAAGTAAAGTGCCGTACAATTTGTAGGGTTACCCAAATATCGGAAAGGTTTTTGTGGTAATATAATTTACCGCATTCGACCGGCGGATGAATAAAGCACGTAGTTTGGTGGATAAGAATAAAAAGTGTATGAAAATGCGCCCCACTGACAAGTTCTTGTGCACTCGAATGTTTTTGAAGCACTGGACTGACTACCAACTCCCGACAATTGGATTTTTCGCCTCAAAATCGAGAAATTAGGCTGTTCTCTGGGGTGACGTCAGAGCCCTGAAGCTGCTGGTCCAGGCGGAGATGAGGCCTACAGAGGGAGGACTTCGAAGTTTCCACCCCCACGGCCTCCTTGACTGCGGACATTGGCCACGAGGGCTGAGATACACGTAGTTTGATGGGTAAACCAGTTAGAAGGCGTTCACCACGACTTATAAGGTAGTGTTTATTCTTGTTCCTTCAACGCTCTATCAACTGATAACGTTGCGTATCCATTATTTAAATATGACAGGATGGTTATGAATGATGGATCGCGGGAGTACATTCTGTGCCTGCTATAAAGTAACTGAGAAGAACCAGGAAGCTGGG